CTCTATGCAACTCAGACTGGTACCTGACACATGTCATTTTGAAATAAGGCCAACATTGTCGCAATATACATCCGTCAAAGGAGCTTTTGGGAGAGATGTGGGCTGTATAGATATGCATATAGGTGATATGCTCCGGGCAATACCTGGAAAATATCTGGATACATTACCATCTCTGGTGATATTTTTATCTAACCTTTGACCCCTATATGTGACCTTTACCTTAGCCGTAGGGACCTAAATTTTGCGCGCGACACTCTGCCTCACGATAGTGAACATTTGTGCCAAGTTATATTGAAATCCCTCATGCACGGGACACGGCTTCTAATAGTGGTGAACATTTGTATGAAGTTTCATTACAATCTCTCTGTATGTGTAGGAGATATGCACTTGATAAAATATCTATATTTTAACATCTTTAGTGACATTGACAATCATCTTTAGTGATCTTGACATGTAGATATAAACCTTAATTACATGTTTCAAACAAGTGGTGATGATAATGACCATTTGTGTTTCAATCCCTCGATAAATAAGGACTAAACAGTCCCAATACACATTTTCATATTTTTATCTGAACTTTGACCCCTATGTGTGACCTTGACCTTGGCTGCAGGGACTTAAAATTTGCGCGTGGCACTCTGCCTCACAATAGTGAATATTTATGCCAAGTTATATTGATACTCCCTCTATGAATGTAGAAGTTTTGCTTCGGACAATCATTTTTCTATTATATACAAGTGTTACATTGACCTTTGACGTAGAGGCCTGCTTAATGAACGCGAAACGGGTTCTCATAGTGGTGAAAATTTTATGAAGTATCAATTGAATCCCCCCATATGTCTAGGAGAAATGTTTTGGACAAAAATCTATATATGTAATCATCTTTAGTGACATTGGCAATCATCTTAAGTGACCTTGACCTTCCATATATTAATCTAATTTGCATGTTTCACACCAGTAGTCATTATAATGACCATTTGTGTTTCAATCCCTCAGTAAATGATGACTCAATTGTCCCAACACACATTTTCATATTTTATCTGAACTTTGACACCTATGTGTGACCTTGACACTCCGCCTCACAATAGTGAACATTTGTGCCAAGTATATTGCATCTCACTATGCATGTAGAAGTTTTGCCCCGGACAAACGTTTTTCAATGACCTCTATGTGTGACATTGACCTTTGACCTAGAGGGCTGCGAGCGACACGGCTTCTCATAGTGGAAAACATTTCTATGAAGTTTTATTAAAATTCCTAAATGGGTGTAGGAGATATGTTCCAGACAAAAACTGGACGCCGCCCGCCCAGCCGCCCGCCCACAAGGGGGGGGGGGGCTATAATACGACCGGTTTTTCAAACGGGCGAATAAAAGAACAAGTTGAACAAAAAATGTCGACAACTTTCTAGCCATTGACTCACATTATTGGTAATTTTGTCAAAGAAACTTGCCATAAATGGGTACACGGAAGCGTACAGTTATGGGAAAAAATGACCCACTAGTTATAACCAATCAATATGTGAAATATAAAGACCATTACCTTTGAACTAGTGAGCACATTATGACTTATAAATATATGAAATATGAAGACTTTGTGACAAAAAGTTTTCAAGGTTATAAGCAGAGACCATATTTACATTTAAGGCTTGTGTGACCTTGCCCTTTGACTTGTGATCCCAAATTAATATGGGTCATGTACTACATATGGCTATTCAATGTGTATAATATGAAGACTTTGTGATTAATAGTTTTCAAGATAATGAATGGAAACCATTCTGAAATTCAAACCCAATGTGACTTTGACCTATGACATAATGATCCCAATAACAAAAGGGGACATCTACTAGTAATGACCGATCAATATTTAAAATATGAGCTGAAACCATTCTGACATTTAAGGCATGTGTGTCCTTAACCTTTAACCTAGTTACCCCAAAATCAATAGATCTAATCGTTATAACCAATTAATATGAGAAATATAAAGACTTAAATAATATGATAAATTCTTTCCGTGATAATAAGCGGGAATAAATTCTGACAAATTAGAACCCAATGATCTTGATCTTTTGGGCTAGTGACCCCAAAATCAATAAGGGTCGTCTACTAAATTTGAGCTATCACCATGTGAGATATGAAATCTTTGTGATAAATGGCTTTCATGATAATGAGCGGAAATCATACTAACATTCAAGGCCCCTGTGACCTTGACCTATGACTTAATGACCCCAAAATCAATATGGGTCACCTACTAGTTATGACCAAGCAATATGTGAAATATGAAAACTTTGTGATAAATTGTTTTCAAGATAATAAGCGGAATAAGTCTGACATTTAAGGACCCTGTGACAGAGACCTTTGAACTAGTGACCTTACAATCAATAGGAATCACATCCTATGAGTAATCAATATGTGAAACATGAACTTTTGTGAGTACTACCTTTCAAGATAATGAGGGGAAACTATTCTGACATTTATGGCCCATGTGACCTTGGCCTTTAAACTAGTGACCCAAAAATCAAAAGGCGTAATCTACTGGTTATGATCAATTACTGCGTTAAAGATGAAAACTTTTTGATGAATAGTTTTCAAAATAATCAGCAGGAACCATTCTGGTATTTAAGGCCCCTGTGACCGTGACCTTTGACCTAATGAAACCAAAATCAATATGGGTTATCTACTAGTTATGACCAATCACTGTATTAAATATGAAGACTTTGTGACGAATGCTTTTTAATATAATCAGCGGAAACCATTCTGGCATTTAAAGTCCCGGTGTCCTTGACCCTTGATCTAGTGGACCCAATATCAATAGGACTCATCAACTAGTTATGGCGAATCAGTATGTGAAATATGAAGACTTTGTGATAAATAGTATTTAAGATAAACAGCGGAAAGCATGTGGTCTACCGACTGACCGACGGACCTACCGACCGACATAAGCAAAACAATATATCCCCTCTTCTTCAAAGGGAGGCATACTAATTATTATGCGATCGTTTTGGAGGCTTGATTTTGTTTTATGCAACGAGTTCATTGAATTTACACGAATTTATCGAATAAAGAATGGTTTGCAGTTAGAAAATATAAATTTTATCAAAAATTCACTTTTATCTTTAGTTACAAATCTGATTTTCTTACTTTGACAAAATAACGCATATGTCAAAACAACATGCTAATTTTTCTGTTGATTTTTCTATTTAGATTAGTTGTCCAGGTTAAACTATTGAAATTTACGGAACTTTGAAAATTATTGACATATCTGGTTTATTCTTTAACAAAAGAACTCATCTTACATTAATGGTTTGAAAATGACATAAAACCTTAAACTGACCAAAACGTTCAATGTAAAATTTATAAAAGTTGTCATTTCTTTTTTATTCATTTACAATTTGAGTTAAACTTGGACAAAACCGATATGTTGAATTATTCTGATATGACCATGAACCTTAAAAGGTCAAATAATTTTAAATTAACCGAAAATGCTATAAAATTGATATTTATTTATGAAATTCGTTTATTCACGGACAAATACCACCTATTACAAACTGGCAATGGTAATTAATTGTGACATTGACCATCTAGACGGTATACTTTTATTGCAATATAATGTATTTAAGGTGTTGGCCCTAATAATAAGAAAACTAAAACTCCGCGAGTCGGGTGTGTCGCCTTGTGAACAATATAGTTTAGGAGAAATGGCCAGGACAAAAATGAAATATGAAAACTAACAAAGGGCAATAACTAAAAAAATAATAAGTGCAGAGCAGCAGTTTCAGTGCACTGCACTTCTAATCAATAAGATCTATCAACCTATGAAGTTTCAAGTCCATATCTTTTAAAATTTATGAGGAAAAGCCTGGACAAATATAAAGTTTGAAAATTAATAAAGGGTTATAACTCACAAATAAATAGTGCAGAGTACTGGTTCTTGTATACTGCACTTTTTCTTAATGAGATCTATCATCCTATGAAGTTTCATGTCCATAGCTTTCATACTTGAAGAGAAATGGCTCGGACAAAAATAAAGTATGAAAATTAACAAAGGGCAATAACTAAAAATTTAAGAACTGCAGGGTACCGGTCCTTATGCACTGCATTTCGGGTTATTGAAAGAAGCATGCACACCAAGCTTGAAGTCAATCAGACTTATAGTGACTGAGTTATGCTCCGGACAAGCTTTAGGGGACACCGACGCCGACAGCGACGCCGCCGACACCGGCGACAAAAGTAACCCCTATATGTCGCCTTTTCAAGGCGACACAAAAATTGTAGATAAATTTTTTGCGACTATTTTAGTATATGTCATTGCCTAGTAGACCTCTATTAAAGTTTTATTTACCATGCACTTAGGGTCAAAACTGCTTCCACCTTGGAGGTCATACAGTATCGTTAAGATAATTTAGATAAATTTTGGTTCAATAAACTGTCAAGGTTCAATAAACTGTCAGGATTGATAATGTTAAACATCTATATAAATTTTTTACCAGACACATTTGAAATATGATACCAAACAGAAAGCACGTGCTGTGTCATATAATTTGTTTAATTGATTTTGGTGCCTTAATTCGCAAACTTTCAACCAAAGATCATCCCGTTCGTTTGCGTAAGCTAATTTGTATGCTGCTAATAAAATGAATATTTTATTCAAACAATTGAAATGCTGTTATGATTTATATTTATTTGGGGAAAAATTTGATTGGGTATTTATGCAAATACGCATCTTGTCTGAAGCACTGTCAGACATGTCCAAATGTGACCCAATTATCTACTTCTGTATTGGGAGTTATGCTCTTTTAAAACAATGAATATGAGGTTGGAGATATAGGGCTAACATAACCCTTTTTTGATAGTGTCCATGTCTTTATTGTTAGTCAAATGTCACGGTCCATTTACTCGACCAATCTTTCTGGGCATAGAACTGTTTGTGTTCAGTCGTAGTTTAAATTTATTTTCCTTGGATTCTACAAAAGCAGATACAATTTTTTCCTTTTTTTCCTAGATATCGTGATGGCGCACGAGGTACATTTGAAAAACAACAAATACCGACAGTGGGTCAAGGCAGGCCTAGGCTTAGGTTACCTGAAAGAGGGACTAGCACCATTTTGTGATGACATAGGAAAACAGCAGCACAAAGATATTATAAACCAAATTCAAGGAACAAAGACTCCTAAACCAAATGTACCATGTGGCGTCTGTCAGATAACAACTCTCCAGCCAGGCCACATCCGAGTCTCAAAAGGAGTGTGTCCATTCAAGCAAGATAAATGTAACTGTTGCTTTCCAAATAATAAGAAACCCTGTCCAAACAACATATGTGGTGCCATCTATGACAGCATTATACAGAATCATGCATCAATACCACCGGCACCTTTTTGGAAAAACAGCGATGCCCATGATTGGTCCGCTGACCCATGGAGTATATGTAAATGTTTTATAAATGCTCCCGGGTACAAGGACAAGACATCAGCATTCGACGTTGACTGCTCGGGTTTACTACATGTTATCATAAATAACAAATATTTTCATAATCATATTGGATGCAATGTAACAGGACCAAACAATCTTTTTTCAAAGGTAAATATTTTTGTATATTTGTTGTTTAATTTTAATCTCTTACAACAATAAGCAATAATCCGTCACTGCACTTATGTTGAATATGGACCAAACAGAAAAGCTTAAGATTCTCTTACAAGATTTAAAATAGTATTTAACCAATTACTACACTAAGGTGACTTTATTTCTATATACCGGTAACTATGATACTAGTGTAATTGTTTTGCCTGAGACGCAATTTACCAAGATGAATGATGATTCAAAAAGAATTATGCAAGAAATGTTATTTTTATAAGGTGTCAATTTTTATACCCTTGTCCGTGTACGTGTGTTTGTACATGTTGTGTCACATGTAGGTCGGTAGCTAAGATTGCTTGAGCTATTGTCACCAGACCGTACAGAAATGTCGATCGGCAAAGCATGTGGACTTGTGCACCTGGAGATTTGCGCGCGGATAAATTCATTTTGCCGTATCCGTTGTGTATTCTCACTATTGTGCTCGAGGTCGTTATCAGAAGTATTCGGATAACGCGCTTAACAGTTACTGTTTTGATTAAAAGAATCTTGTTTAGTGTAAGTGCTGAAAACAGTATAATCATATATATTATTGCATATAATTATGAGTATATGTTCGACTTAGATTTGTTTTCCATTCAGGTACGACAGTACAGAAATAAGATTTTTCACTCAAGCAGTATGGAGTTAGAGGAATGGGATGCTAACTCTTATATTGATGATATGATAGCAGTTCTTCAAGATGGAAAGGAGCTTGTTCGTCATCATGCTGCACAACAAGCTGTTGGGAATCTCCAAGATGTAAGTGTAAATAATAAATATTAACATGTATAATTTGAAATCCTGATGGAGTTCAGTTATATTTTAAAAATACACATCTCTTAATTGAGGTATTCTTTAGGGTAATTGGAAAAGTATTCGGAGTGGTTTTATTAAAGTCAATTTTAAATAACAACTGCGTTAAATGAACTGACATTTATGAAATCAAACTCAGATACCTATAAAACGTTATAATATATGAAACAGAATATGATTTTAATTGTATAGGTATGAACAAAAAGAAGTAAATAAAAAGTCTGACTATCAGATACCGATACCATACATACCGTCATAAACGTTTTTATATAAGTATGAGCAAAAAAAATCAAAGAACAATCAATTGAGACAATTTAGAAATTATGTCTTACCTATTATACATAAAAGGTTGTATAGGGTTTATATCATAAATCGAAGAGCTCTAATTTTACCTCTGAAAGAAAATAGAAAAATTTTTTTTTCATCAGCTGAAGAAGGAGGACTTCATTATTACAACTCAAGGCTTTGACGAAATTCTCAGTCAAATCAAAGAAGCAACAGGAAATGCTGCAAGTAAGGAGGAATATGACGAGCTTAAAAACAAAATGTCTGACCTTGAATCTCAGATATCAAAAGCACAAGAGGTAAAACTTGAAGTTTCTATAACCTGTTTCCGGTTGATATAACAGTACATACAACCATGGTAAATTTTTAAGGACGGACCAAGTTAAAATCCGAATGCCCCCATCCTAAAGTGGGTGCAAAAAAGGGTCATTATGAAACCACAAACCTTTCTAACACCTTTCTGTACAAGCTCAAGATATTGATCTTCATTCAGATTTTTTCAGTCCGTCAGTAAGTTCGTTCAGCATTGGCAGATGACACCTATTGATTTTGGGTTCAGTAGGTCAAAAATCAAGGTCATATTGACCGAAAATGCTTAAACTATCTCCGAAGGATAACTTTAGTACGCTTTGGCCTAGGATCATTGTTGATATGGGGATTGATAACCTCTGACAGATGACTCCTATTTATTTTAAGGTCATTACGTCAAAGGTCAAGGTCTCAGTGACCCAAAATAATAAGACCATTTCCGGATGATTACTTGAGTATACTTTGGTTCAGGATCACGAAATGTGATAGAGAAAGTGTTCATCATTTGCAGATGAGCCCTATCTATTTTGAAGTCAGTAGGTCCAAGATCAAGGTCACAGTGACCCAAAATGCTAAAACATTGCTTAGAATCATTTAATCGTCACTGGTATATAACCTTTATTGATTTTGAAATAAGTATGTCAAGGTCAAGTGACCCAAAATCGTAAGACCATTTTGGGTGATAGCTTCAGTGTGTTTTGTCCTATGATCAATAAAGTTGGTAAGAAAGTTGATCATAATTCACAGATGACCCCTATTGATTTTTAGATCAGAAGGTCAAAGGTCACTAACAGAATGTATGAAGGGGATATTTAGTGTTCTACGAACTTTTGTTCATAATATACACACAGTGCAAATTTTTGTGACCTCGTGTACATAAATTTTTTATGGTTGATTGCCACAACACGTAACTATTCAAGATCAAAGGAAGTTAGAATTCCTTTTTACCTGCATTTGATATGACCCATCCTTACTTTTTATACTGCTTACATATTTCACAAGTTGTGTTACTTCAATAAATGACTTTAACAAAAATTCTACTATACTGCCTGCGTATAAATATATAACTTGTATCTTTCTTAATTTACTTTGCAATAAATGATAATATACACTTTATTCATTCTAGTCCAAGACAAATGACACTTTTGTGACATCACCAACGTGGTGAATTTTAGTATGACTTTGCTCTGTAAGTTAGCTTAAGTGTTCATAATCCCTTTAACAACTTGCCGGCATCTCAACAATGCAATACCATTTTAAACAACCTTTACAAGAATGATCCTTTTGGAAACATATACAAATGACAACAGTCACATAAGGTAAACAATTTTAAGAGGAGGCATGTGTAAAAAAAAACTAAAAGCAAATTGAATGTGCTATCCTCTCTAAAAGTAATATAAATCGTTTCCTTAGCTATAAATACAAACCTGAGGTTATATGGCTAAGTGTTACATATTAACTATGAAGAATAGGCTGAGTGATGATGGGTCAAAAAGAGCTATGCTGCGGGTTCATGTTAACAACTTAAAATTATGTTGATAAGTGACTTGACAGAGGACATATTAATCATACAACTATAATGTTATACCCTTCCTTTTTCATCTCACTGTAGTATTTAGCACTCAGAGTTGAGCGTTTGTGATGTCTTTTTGTGGTGTGGCAGTTATGCATGGTTTGTTAACCAACATTTTTGTTTTAGGAATATTTTGACAAAACTTTACATTTACATATAGGATTCTTGATATTTTAATGTGACCTTATTGATGTATTATCTAGCAATTGATTACAAGTGAGTGATCAAATACCATACTGGTACGTAGTGCATGAAATGTTTGAAAAAGCTCAAACGCAAGTTTTGTTAACATTCAAGTTTCAAATGTAACAACTAAAGACTACTGCAAATAAAAAAAAACAAATAAAAAAGAAGCGTATCAATGTGAAAAGGGTAACTTACATAATTATAAATTTTGGACCTTCTATTATCCTTCACTTGCATTAATCTTAAGTAAAGTAGGCACGATTGCACTTAAAACGCCAAATTAAAAGTAACAGCAATGATTTACAAAATTAATTTTTATATTGGAGGAAATTCAAATATCCCAGCACTTCATCAGTAATAATTCAATTTGATATTTTTGAAAAATATTAAGACACTGTGTGTTAGACAGACTGCCGGAAATTCCAATAATACTTTGTACAATCATCACTTTTGAAAATTACCAAATAAAACACAATTGTTTGTACTATTATTTCTGGTGTAGGAGATAAAAAGACTCAAGGAAGAAGATTCTCCTCAACAACAAAAACAGTTAGAATATGAAAAGGCTAAATCAGGCAAGTTATTATATCACCATATCTCTCTCTCTCTCTTCTCTCTCTCTCTCTCTCTCTCTCTCTCTCCCTCTCTCTCGCTCTCTCTCTCTCTCTCTCTCTCTCTAATATAAACAAGGGATACAAGTCGTGGCCTCGCATTACCAGGGCGGGTTTGTAAAATGCATTCACACGTGTAAACTGTATAAAATATTATCTGTTCCATCAAAGTTATTGTAGAAATTGATATATGAACGAGTCATTACCCAAGTTCTACAGCTTAATGATTAAAACATTGCAGGAAATAACTAACATTTCAATATTTACATTGGCTGTCAAACTGTCGTCCATTACGCAGGTGTGTTTATGTTCCGAGTATTTTCATTGGCTAATGAAAAAAAACCGCTATCCGTCACGGCTATACGCCGTCATTATTAGGATTATGATTATTCATTAGGCAATGAAATGGACAGTCACTTATACAAGTTGCGTTTACGCATGAAACATACGGGCAATTTCAAAATGGAAGGCGAGGATAGAAATTATCAAAACAAACAAAGATTGTTACAATAAATTGTACCAGAAGTAAATGATTGCATCATTGATGGTGGTATATGACTGATATTGAACTGATTACATGTTACATTTTTTGAATGAGCATGTGTTTGCATACGTTTAATTTTACAAACCGAAATTTTACGACCGTGTGTAAAAATGAAACACGAAATCTTATTTTAATAATAGCTTGTCCATGTATCAAAGTGAATCTTTTTTTTTTTTTTTTTGGAAATTATCGATTCTTTTATGAATGTCAAACAATCAAAAGAAAAATGCGGTCGTATACTGAGTCTTATTTACCTTTTCCTGAATTGAGAAATTTTGTGTTGTATCCCTTGTTATGAAAAAGAAAAAAAAATGACAGAAGCCCCTGTGTTCAAAATATCAATGACGCCGAATACATTATTAACTACAACAATGAATTTATTCAAAAGCATACGTAATTAAGAAATTTACCTCTAGTATTTGAGAAAAAATCCACTTTTTTTCGTTTTGGCGCAAAATTTCTTCAGATGGCAGGTGAGCTAGAAAAAAACCACGTTGTGCAAATCACTTACAATAAATCGGCAACAGACATGGAGCTGATATAACACCGAATTAGTTGTTATGAAAACGACTTAATTACTCCTTACAAAAGCATCGATTTCTTGCTGAGTTGAATTTGAGAAGAATATACTAAAAAACTCATTCATTTGAATAACAGGAAATAAATGTATATCGGAGCTAAATCGGACCGAACTCAACCTGTCTTTAACAAGTTTGTCTGTATCGGATATATATCGGTCCAATGGCGAAAAGGCGACTTCGATATTCCGACATTTAGCCGATATCGGCCCGATATAGGTATGTTTGCTGGGTAAGAGTATGAATTTGAACCTGCGACTTCTGCTGTTGATCAATCGCAACTTTACGGCACTCTCCTTCTGACAAAAATTGTAAAGATTTTTTTTAAAAGAACGGGAAACCCGGGACTTTCCCGGTTTTTTTAAACCCCCCATTTTAATCCCCAAAAAGTAAATTTTTTAAATGTTTTTAAAATCCTTAAAATTTTTTTAAAAAAATATATCGGTTTAAAAATTTATTCAGTCTTCCGGGGAAGGGCCCCCAACATTTAGTAGAGAATAAACCCCAAAAGTATAAGGTAAATTTTCGGGGCTGTACCGACACTAAGCAAGGGGCAAAGGGGGTGAATTGGTTGCACACTTTGGGGGAATGCGAGCGAAATTGGGTTTCAAACCCTTAAAAAAGATGGGGAACACGGCGTGAAATTTTTTGAAAACGGGTTTTAACGAATTTTTTTCCAGGCAAAGTTTTGGGGTTTTTTTTGGGTTTTTTTTTTGAAGGTTTTTATTTTGTATGTCCTTTTTTTTCCAAAAATGGGAAATTTTATTTTTTCCACCCCTCCGGGTTTAAAGGTTTTTAGCATTTCCCATATTTCTTTTTTTGACGAAGTTATTGAAGGGTATTAAAATGATTTAAAAGGGAAGAAATTTTTTAAATTTTAAAATGTGACCGTTTTTTGTCGGGTTTTTTCCTTATTTTTTTTCGAATTTGGGACTTTTTTTAACTGCAATTTTTAAAAAAAAAAATTATGTTTCTGTCAATGGGTTTTGCAAAAAGGTTTAAATTTTGCAAAATCCGAAAATTTAAGTTTAAATACAAAAAATTTTTCCTTTTTTAAGGGAAATTTTTTTTTTTCAAGAAATTGGGACTTCCCAAGGGATTTTTTTTTGCATTTAACCTTTTTGTGTTTAAAAAATGTGGCAAAGCATAAATTTTTTTAAACGAGGAAAATTTCTAATCATTTTTTTTAACCAGGGTTTTTAACGAAAAACCGGGGTTTTTGTAAAAGGCCCAAAATGGGGGCGGGCGGGCGGGGGGCGGGCGGGGGCGTCAACTTTTTTGGTTTTCCGCTCAAATAACTTTAGTTTGCTTTGCCTATTGACACCAAAACTTGGTGTATGGATAGCTTATATCAAGAGGCAGCTTGGATTGCTACCCAGGTGTCTGTGATCAGGTCAAGGTCACTGTTTACTAAAAATAGAAATTCAGTTTCCGCTAAATAACTTGAGTTTGCTTTTACCTATTGACACTAAACTTGGTGTATGGATAGCTTATATTCAAGAGGCAGCTTGGGATTGCTACCCAGGTGTCTGTGATCAAGGTCAAGGTCACTGTTACTAAAAATAGAAATTCAGTTTCCGCTCAATAACTTGAGTTTGCTTTGGCCTATTGACACCAAAACTTGGTGTATGGATAGCTTATATCAAGAGGCAGCTTGGGATTGCTACCCAGGTGTCTTGTGATCAAGGTCAAGGTCACTGTTACTAAAAATAGAAATTCAGTTTCCGCTCAATAACTTGAGTTTGCTTTGGCCTATTGACACCAAAACTTGGTGTATGGATAGCTTATATCAAGAGGCAGCTTGGGGATTGCTACCCAGGTGTCTGTGATCAAGGTCAAGGTCACTGTTACTAAAAATAGAAATTCAGTTTCCGCTCAATAACTTGAGTTTGCTTTGGCCTATTGACACCAACTTGGTGTATGGATAGCTTATATCAAGAGGCAGCATAATGGGATTGCTACCCAGGTGTCTGTGATCAAGGTCAGGTCACTGTTACTTAAAAAATAGAAATTCAGTTTCCGCTCCATAACTTGAGTTTGCTTTGGCCTATTGACACCTTAACTTGGTGTATGGATATGCTTATATCAAGAGGCAGCTTGGGATTGCTACCCAGGTGTCTGTGATCAAGGTCAAGGTCATTGTTACTAAAAATAGAAATTCAGTTTTCTGCTCAATAAAACTCGAGTTTGCTTTTGGCCTTTTGACACCAAACTTGATGAATGGGTAGCTTATATAAAGAGGCAGCTTGGGATTGCTACCCAGGTGTCTGTGATCAAGGTTAATGTATTTAGTTTTCATGTTATAAACTTGAGTTTGCTTTGACCTTTTGAACAATAAACTTGCTGAGTGGCAGCTTTGGATTGCTACTTTGAATATCTGGGAGTAAGTTCAAGGTCATTTGCTTACAATAGAATTTTCAGCTTCTACTCATTAACTTCAGTGTACTTTGACCTATTGATTGCTGTCACATCAAAATTTGGTCGTTGAAAACCTTGTTTTCGTCGCATTGCGGCGCTTCTTGTTTAAAAATACAATGTAATAAGCAATATTAAGGCAATTATACCCGTTCATCTAATAAGAAATATATATACAAATTGTGCATGCGTGCAGATATATCCTAACACAGGGTCTTTCAAATAGATATAAAACACAATACAATGTATGCTAAATTGGAGTTCATTTGTGTTTATCTTCATCATTTTTTCTCCTCGATATACTTTTTTTATATTTTGGCATGACTTACTGTAAAGTAAAAGAAGAAAAAAATAGCAATAAACAGCTTTCATTATTGTTCTTTTTTGAGATTTGAAATAAAATTCATTGTATAGTAGATAAAAACTATATTAACAAGGGAACAAGGGCATTATTCACATGTTTAATTGTTCCTTATTATTGACCAATCGAAATATCTTCCAAATTCCCTAACTCGAACAATGACTTCAAGTAGTTTTGTCACGTATCAGTCAATGTAAAATAACCAATCGTATATCATTTATATTATGATCTAATAATCAAAATCATCTTTAGAATGCCAATTGACATATGATGTACATCAAATCCGAAATATTGTTAACAAGCATGTCATTTTAACTTTTGGTTTGTAAAAATATTTTAAGTACAATTACATACTTTATGTCTATCTTTACATACGAAACAAACAAATTAACATTTCTTGTGGTTTTGATAAACTTTGGAAATTTTACCGAGTAACATCGTATGTGTGCACATGTCCTTATGTTTATGATGGAAATAATTCACCTACATACAACAGTACTCTCACATACGTTTGTTTTGTATGTAGTTTTCATTTGCATTTTACATATGATGACATATTTTAGAATTGAAGTATCAATAAATATTTTTCTATATGCTATTATTTTGTTTGCATGCTTTTACTGATGATAATAGTATTGAACTGAGAACCATGTAATTTGAAACATAAATTGCATAATTGTTGTAAAAGAAGAAAGTATAAATAACATTTATGACAAAAACAAGTAAAAGCATATAAATGTCAATAATTGCCAATGAGTATAACCTTCTACACTCCTTTTGCAAAGATTTACTATGGAATTCAATAGAATAAGAATAAGTTTGCAACCAAAAATGCTTGAAGTATAAGTCTGCAACCAAAATGTGCTTGAACAAGATATTTTTGTGTATTGAACGTTATCTTCGGACTTGCGAACTAAACCATTTGTACAGCATTGACAGAAACATATTTTGTTATTGTTAAATGCAGTTCAAAACGAACACATTCGAATAAATTAGGAGAAAAATCGACAAGAACAGTCACATGTCAAATTTAAAATATCTACATGATCAGTTTATATCTTCAATA